ATCCACCAGCTCATCATTTCCTAGACTACAACCATTCTGACCCAGTCACATTCTGAGAGATTGTCTATGAGGTTTTCTCCCCAGTTTTCTGTATTTCCTCTATTCTTGGCCATAAACGTTTTATTTATATAGGAAAATATTAATTTACAATAATCAAAATTATCCATTTTATACTTCAATGCTGCTCTCATCTTATAATATGGTTTAAAGTCTCATACTACTGAGTCTAGTTCCTTCACATCTTTTCCCCCTGGTTTCCTTTAAGGTTTTGACCCTCTACTCTTCCAAATGAACCCTGTTGTTGTTTTTCTGACTCAGTAAGATGACTGTTTAGTAATTTAATTGAGATGACATTACATAAAAAGATTAGTTGGGTAAAACTGTCATTTAAAAAAAATTATATTAGCTTTACCTACATATGAACAATAAATATTACTTCAATTATTTAGATATAACTTTTTTTGTATAAAAGCTGTTCTGTGTTTATATTCATATAGTTCTTGTTTCTGTTTTGGCAGATATGCTCTAATTTTTTTTAAAAAATATTCTCTAGTAGTTAGTTTACATGGTCTAAAACTATTGATTAATATGGCTGACGGTTAGTTTCTCTGTTTTTTTTTTTTTGATTAAATCTGATTTTAAGCTTTCACTCTGAAATCAAGATTGCTATCCCTGCTTTTTTACAAAATAAATTCTACTGCTGACATTTATTTTATGTTTATCTCTCATTTTTATTGCATTTCCTGAAAGCAACACTGTTGAATTTAAATTTTTAATCTGTTTCCATTTTATAGGTAAATCCATCCCATTCACATTCTAAACTATAATTACTTGTTGTATATTTTCCTCCCTATTTTCCTCACTATCCTTCTCACCCTATTCCAATCGCTCCTCACTCCTCTACTTTACTTCTACCTGCTACCCTGCCCTCCTATTCCTTAACCTAACCCCTCCCCCTAAGAATTCTTCCCTCATCCCTTCCCTCTGTCCTATTCCCTCTTACCCTTATTTTTTTCTGAATTTAGAATATTTTTATACCCTGCTAAATCTATGTTTTCCCCCTCTTTATTCCATTCCAGTTAATCTACACACACTTCTACACCCTCCCCTTATTCTATTCCCTATCCCTCCCTTATCCTCTCCTCCCTCCCTACCCTTTTACCCTCTTATTTGTTCCTGAATCTAGAAAACTTTTATGCCCTTCTAGATATACATGTATTATTCCCTCTTTAACCCATTCCCAATGAGTAGGGTTCCAGAACTACCTGCCTTCCTCCCTCCTCTAATTCCTCTGTATCAGTTCTTCCTCTTGTACCTCATTTTTATGAGATAATTATTCTTATTATCTTTTCCAACACCATCTTGCTTTTTTGAATCACATCATACTCAGCTCTACCCCATTCTTTCTTTCGAACTACCCAATTACGAATGACAGTCTTAGACATACAGTTTACATTTATTTCCATGTATAAAAAGTAAACCACTTGGCCTTATTGAGTCGCTTGTAATTAGTCTTTGATATTTACCTGATATTTGTCTTGGATCTTGTATATCAGATTTTCTATTAAGTTATGGTCTTTTTGCAATAAAATCCTGATAGTCTGTCAATTCACCGAAAGTCTATTTTTTTTTCGTTCAGGATTATATTTAACTTTGCTGGGTATGATATTTTCTGCCAAAACCCCAGTTCTTTTGCTCTTTGATATATAGTGTTTCAAGACCCGCAGTTTTTTAGTGTAGCTGCTGCTAGGTCTTGGATATCAGAAGTCTTTTTTTTTTGGCTAGGCAATGTGGTTCAGTGACTTGCCCAGGGTTACACAGCTAGTAAGTGTCAAGTGTCTCAGGCCAGATTTGAATTCAGGTCTTCCTGACTCCAGGGCCTGTGCTGTGTCCACTGTGCCACCTAACTACCTCTACATCAGAAATCTTAAAAAGAAAAACGTCTAGATCTTTAAGAACCAGAGGACAAAGTTTAATTAGAAAGAATCTATCTGTTAAGAAATCCCAAAATGAAAACTTCCAGGAAAATTACAGCAACAATCCAGAGTTTCCAGGTTAAGTCACCAAAAAGAAAGAACTCAATACTGAGCTGAAATTAAATTTAGCAGACACTTCTAAAGAGGAGCAGAAAACTTGGAATATAATATTCCAGAAGGATATATGGGTTTACAACCAAGAATAACTTATCCAGCAAAACTGAGTATAATCCCAAGGGTGGGAGTGGGGGTAGAGATATATCTTCAATGAAATAGAGTATTCCTAAGTATTTCTGATGAAAAGACCATAGTTTCACAGAAATTGTGAAGTTCAAGAGAAACACAAAAAGGTCAACATAAACAATCCTAAGAGACTAAATAAGGAATAAACTGTTTACATTTTAATATGGGGAGAAGATACATATGCCCCCTCTGAACCCTATTATCATCAGGGGTTATAGAGTCCAGTTAGATAGAACTCCTGGTTCTACTATATTTTGATGATCTAAAAAGAAGAATATAAAGGGAGGGGGGAAAAGAATACATTTGGGGATGAGGTGAAGGAAGAGGAAGGCTAGGGAAAACTATCTCACAGAATTCAGGATGTGTAAGTACAAGTCAAACTGACATTGTACTTTTGCAGAACAACTTGAAGTAGAAACCAACCTGGTCAAAGGAGGGAAGAACACAAAGGATTGGGTACAGAAATAAACTTTACTCAACAGGGAAACAAGAGGGAATGGGGAAAAAGGGGAAAGAAGACAGAGGGTAGATTAAGTAAGGTATTAGTCCTTAGAAAAAATTGTAAAGGAGTGTCCATAAATTGAGGAATGGCTGAACAGTTATGGTATATAAGTGGAATACTACTGTAATGTAAGAAATGATGGAGAGGATGATTCAGAGAAACTTGGGGGGACTGTGTGAACTGATGCAAAGTATAATGGTTGTGAACCTAGTAGAACAATTTATACAATAAAAATATTATAAAGATAATTCTGAAAGATGCTGGAACTTTGAACAGCAAAATGATGAACCAATAATTTGAGAGAACTCATAATGAAAAATGCCACCCACTTCCTGATAGAGGTGTGAAGGACACAGAGTGCAGAATAGGACCTCGGCTGGTATATGACGCCTTTAACTCTTGCTCAGTTAGCTATTATTTATAACTTTATCTCATCTATAAGCTAGATAAGTATGTTATTTCTACCTTTAGTCAAGTCATTATTAAAATGATAAACAATCTAACACCAAGCAAAGATCCCTTCTGGGGTGTTTCATTAGAGACCTCCATCCAAGATGACTCTAAAACATTAATGACAAGTCTGTGATATGGTTATTCAATCCACTCTCAATCTACTTAATTGTACTATTGTTTGATATATTTGTTTATATCCAACAGCATTGCAGAGGCTTTGTCAAATACTTTGCTAAAATCCAGGTAATGTATTTCTACAGTATTCCCCTGAGCTACCATTCTAATAAGACTGTCAAAAAAGGGAAAAAAAGGGTTCGATCTGGTATGATATGTTCTTGATTAAGTTATACTTCTCTGTCACTGCTAATTCTTTTTCTTAAAATTCATTAAATATTCCTTTAAAAAAATCTTCTGCAATTTTGCTGGTACTTAAAAATCATGGACACTAGCCCTTTTGAAAATCAGTACATCTGTCCTTCAGTCTTAGAGTATTTCTTTTGTCTTCTATGACCTTTCAAAAAGCACAAATACCGACTCTTTCAGATTCCTGGAATGCAGTTCTTCAGGGCTTGGTGACAAACTCAATAAGGATAACTAGGTGCTCTTACTATCTTCCTACTTATTTTAATTTGCAAGTCTCTAAAAGCCATTTTTTGTTCTCTCATTTCCAGTCCAAAGACAGTTCTCCACAAAGAGAATAGAAGAAAGGTACAGTGGTTCTGCCTTCTCTACACTGTTACGTATATGATCAGCTGCATACCCCCTGGCCCAATACTGCTTCTTCAAAATAAATCCCTAAAAACCTCTTGTTATCCTTAGCATTCCTCCTAAAATGTATCTTATTCAGATCTTTAATGCATGTGATATTTTTATAAAACCACAACCACGCTTTCGTAGCAATTATTTTATTTGTCTGATCTTTTGTAGGTCTTTAAAGTTTTTTCCATCAACAATATCTCTCCCTTACCTTTTCACTATTTTGCCCTACTCACTCCTGTTATCAGCACAAAATATCATCAGGGGCACGTAAGCAATAAAAAAGATAAGGACCACCACCAGGAGAATGACGTTTGAGCTCTACCCTACAGCCCTATAAACTCCAGGTAATAAAAGGCACTTATGTGAAGCAAATTGTGTAACTGTACTTGTCAATCTAGAACAGGGCTTAGAAACTGTCATCAATGATAGAATGAACTTAAAAAGTTTTTTCCCCAGCACTGAGAAAATTCTTAACTGTCACAAAAAAGAATGAAGGGCCACCCAAAATAAAATGTATATACACCTATCACTTTTAATAGCACAAAAGGTCAATGATGCAACGATTTTTATTTTTCAAAAAACTACTTTTTAATGCTCAGTAAATGTTCAGCTGTTAGTTTTGGGACTAATTTGCTACTTGTAAGGATGAGACAAGATGAAGAACATCAATAGGAAGGAGTTACTCAGGGATGAGGGAGCTCAAAAATTTCAAGATTAATATGTACAAGAAAATGAACCAAATTATGGTTACTAGTTGGGTAATCAGGCACAGTAACTATAGAAGGATTTTATCCTTAGTAATCAATCCATCAGCTATATAATCATGGGTTGATATACTTAGAGCTAGCAGACAATGAAGAGATGACTACCTACACCCACACTACCTCTCAATTTGTCTTCAAACAGTTTTCTAATTATTTCTCTGGAATACTTAGTAAATTAGACTGGAATTTACACTTTCCAGAGCAAAGAAAATGTCCAGGCCCTTTTGAACATATGGCAACATATGGTCTTTCCAATTTCTTAACAAACAACTCTGAAAAATGACAACTGTTGCTTTAAATTACCTTGTCGATTAACTTCATTTTGAAGTAGCTCTTCCATTGCCTCCTCTTCAGCAATATCTAAAGGTGTGTCACCTTCACTATTGACAGCTCCTACATGTGCTCCTTGACCAATTAAAAACCTTCAAAATAAAGAGATTGACAGTTAAACAACAGGAAGCTAAAGAACTAGGAAACGAAAAACAAAATTACTAGATAGAATTGTTAACTGATTAAAAAAGGGAACAATATAAACATATATAGAATGTACAAAGATTATGTATACATGTGTATATATGTACAAGTCTGCATACATATATACATAGTCTATATATGCAGATATACATTCATTCTGTATACATGTGTGCATGTACAAATACACACATATATAAACATATATATGTGAGTGTATGAGTGTGAGAGTGTGTGTGTATGTGTGTGTGTGTGTGTGTGTCTGTGTATGTTTATAAAATGCCCCACAAGCCTTAGCACAGCCTTCATTAAGTTCCTAAAGCTTAAAGCTGACAGCTACTGGTGCAGCAGACAGTGCTGGGCCTGGAGTCAGGAAGACCAAAGTTCAAATCTGGCCTCAGACACCTACTAGTTGTGTGACCCTGGGCAAGTAACTTAACCCAGTTTGTCTCACTTCCGCACCTGTAGTTATGAGGTGGAGAAGGAAATGGCAAACCACTATAGCATTTTTGCCAAGAAAACCTCAAATAGGGTCATGAAGAGTCAGACATTAACGAATAACTACTGAATAAAAAAGCTTAACTTTAAAGCTGTGCCAAGGCTTGTAGGACACTGTCCTAGATCAATTAAAATTTCCATTTAAAACCCTTTAAGATTCAGGAATTGTGTTACAATATTCTATCACTATTTTGCTACACTAACCATAAGGCTTTCTAAACTTGTACATTATATTCATGTCTCCCTGGATTTTCACTAGCCTTGTCGTCTTCCTTTCTACTTAAAATGCCCTAGAGGACTCAATTAAGAACACATTTAGATGAGACAGAATTATTGTCTTCAAACATTTTAATACTTATCTTTGGAAGAAGGAATGGATCTAGTCTAAGTTATTCTAGATAGCAGAGCCAGGAACAATACGTGGAAGTTAAAGCAGACAGACTGTAGTGCTACGCAGGGAAGAATTACTTCACAAAAGTTGTTTAAAAATGTAATGGGATCCGGGGACACAGTGCATAGAGCATCGGCCCTGGATTGAGAAGGACCTGTGTTTAAATCTGGCCTCAGACACATAACACTTACTAGCTGTGTGACCCTGGGCAAGTCACTTAACCCCACTGCCTAACACTGCCTAACACACACACACACACACAAAAAAGTAATGGGATCCTCTGTGATATAAAGATTGCATAGGCAGAGGAGACACCCACTGACAATATAGTGAGCGATCAGGGACACTGCTAACAGCATTTCTACACTGAGACTGGCAGAGAGAGCTGTTTAAGGTAATCACTTTTTCGAAAGTACTTGTCCCTTATTTCTGAGTATCTCATGTGAATCTTGTCAAATTCAGTATGACTGGGTTATAATAGTATCTTATCAACCTGTCATTTAATAAGCATATAATACGTATCAGACACTGTGCTAAGTACTGGGGATGAGTCTCTGCTCTTAAGGACTTTCTAGTCTAACAGTGAAGATAAGATGCAAACAACTATATACAAAGAGATATACACGGTACATTTAGAGATGAACAGAAATAGATGATGTTAGCATTAAGTGGGACAGGGAAAGTCTTCTTGCTGAAGGCAGGATTTTAGTGAGAGTCAAGGGAAGCCAAAGGAGTTTGCAGGCAAAGATGAGGAATGAGAGAGTTCCAGTGTCACTAATTTGCAGACTATGTGGGGGATGGGGGGTGGTAAGGTATAAGAAAACTGGAAAGGGAGTAGTGGAGGGAAAGTTATGTGAGGATTTGAATGCTGGAGTTGTGTATGTGTGCACTCACATGTGTGGTAATGAAGGTGGCATGGTCAAAACTACATTTTAGGAAGATCATTTTGGCAGTGAGATCAGCCATCAGGCTATTGCAGTCAGGGGCCCTGCTCCAGAATGGTGGCAGTGTCATAGAAGAGAAGGCATACACAAGAGAGGTTACAAAGAGAAAATCAATTTGCCTTGGAAACAGATTGGATATAGAATGTGAGAGTGAGGATCCAAGGTGTCAAATCTGGGTGACTGGAAGGATAGTAGTACCCTAGAAAGCAAAAAGAAAGTTAAAACAAAGAGAGGAGGATTTGGGGAGAACATTGAGTTTAAGGTATCTATGGGACATTGAGTTTGAGATGTCAGAACAGATACTTGGAGACGAAAGACTAGAGGTTGGCAGACAGGTTAGGGGTGAACAGGTAGACTGAAAATGGAAACTGACTGAATCCATGGGAGATGATGAGATCATCAAATGAAACAGCATAGAGGAAGAAAAGAAGAGGGCTTCACTTAATTAGATACAGCTGTACTCAGTCAAATGTAAAATGTTACACAATTCTAAAAGCCCAATTAACGACTCTGAATTTTGAAAACAATTTTCTTCTATACTTCAACACAACTTCCCTTTCAATCACAGCTCTGATTAACTCCACTATTCAGCAAATTCATACGATTCCAGAATCCATCCCTTTTACTCTTGCACAAACAGGGATTCTCCTCCCCCATGTCAATATTAGGCTTCTCAAACTGCTATTAATTTGTGAGGCTCCTTAACTGTAAGATAAGTATAATAATAATATCTATCTTAAAGTGTCCTAAGGACAAAAGATATGTGTAAAACATTTTTCAAAGCTTAATGTGTTGTGTAAATGCTAGCTACTAAATATTAAGTGACAGCATAGTCCAAAAACAAAAAAAAAGGAGTTTAAAGACTTACATGCATCCAGGAAAAACAACAACAAAACATCATAAAAGAACCCACTCTTTTCAGACCAAAGAACTTTCCCTTTTGATTATGTTGTTTCTTCAGGTAGATAACAGAACTAAAGACATCAAAACATTAACAAAGATTCCTCTTAGTTTTGTCAGAAAGCCAAGGAAGAGAGACAGAATGGGGGGGGGGTGTAAAAAAAAAAGACCTCTTACAATCCAGCTTTATTATAATGAAAGGTCTTAGGAGACATCTGTTGTACTTTTATATACAATTCTTAAAAAAAAAAAAAGAAAAAAAGAAAATAAAAAGCTTCATTATCTGCTTGCCAAACTCACAGCAGTTTTAGAAGCAGAGAAGATGTGGCTGTCATGGGCTGCCATTCTGAAAACAGAGGGAAGTGAGAGTAAGGAAAACTATACAAAACAAAATAAAGAAACCCAAACATAACCTAAAAGTTCTGGGGTCATTCAGTTCTACACACTTCACTAACCTCTGAGATCATTACTAATATACTCAAAAGTACTATAAAATAATTTATCAATCTTTTTCAAATGGACAGTAAATTTCTATCAGAGGAAATGTTTTGTTTCATTTTTGTATCTTCATCCACTCTGAAATTCTATTGGTGACAAATGCCTTTTGGAGGTCAAATGATTATGGAGGTGACTTGGGTTTTGAATGTGAAGTCAGGAAAATCACTCTTAGAGGTCCTATATCAAGCTGGAAAGACAGTACAGATTCTGTTAGGGAGTATAAAACCCAGTTTCAGTTTATCACTACAGGGTTAGCCATTAGGTGGTTTTTTTTTTGGGGGGGGCTATTGTACTAAAGCAGGGGTTCTTGTGTGTGTGTGTGTGAGTGAGAGAGAGAGAGAGAGAGAGAGTTATATAATCCGTTTGAAGAATGCCTTTTAATGCAAAAATTAAAATATAAAGAATTGCAAAGGAAACTAAATATAATGAAATACAGTTTGTGTACTAGAAGAGTGTTATAATCAGAAGACCTGGGTTTCATACTGAGCTGTAACATTTCCTAGCTGTATGATTCCATCAAATTATAAATAATCTTTCTGAGTCTCATTTAGAGCAATAATAATTGCACTGTATCAGAGGACTATTATGAAGAGAGTGCTTAGACAATCATAAGGCAAAGTTTTCTGGACTTCGGGTTGTGCTACAATAACGGAGTCAAAGCAATAGCCAAAAGCATTGAATATTTTTAAGTACAACATAACTTTAACAATATATAATAAATATAACTTTTTCAAAGCTAAAATCACTGTCACTATCAGTCTGTAAACACTCATGACAGATGAATTGTCTTCACAATTTATTTGAACATGAAGTATATACTCAAAGTTAAATAATTTTTGTGGATTTTCTCCCCTCCCCACCAAAAAAACCCCATTCCTATGTAAAAATAGCTATGATTGATATTTAAATTTAAATCCTTAATTTTATTCTCCCTACTTTTTAAAAAATGAAATATCCCTTCATGATAGATATTTAACTAATTTGAAGAGAGCAGCCACCAGAGCAGTTTCAAGTAGTACTAAAGATTAAAGTTAGCTCAAATATCAGAAACACAAAAACCAAGTAAAAAGCCCAAATCCTGAAAAGACAAACCATTATATTTATTCCTGGGATTCAAAAATACTGGTACTGATGGGAGTGGAAAGCGCACTGTGTTTTCACTTGGCACAAATATTTAGCTGCAGATGGCATGAAATGTCTTGAAAATGTTCATGCAGAGAGAAATGGAAAGAAAAAATTCAGAGCTGATTCCAAGGTTAGAAATCTGAGTCTCTGGGAAGATGTGTATGATAGGCCTAGAGAAGATCCAGGAGACGTTGAGGAGACAGGTGGTGATATGAGACTGGACTTCATGGGAGAAGTTAGGTCTAGAAAGAAAGACAGGTCATTTATCTACCAAATGAAGTAGCCCATAGTTTTCCTTTATTCAAGTATTGTTTAAAAAAAAAACACAACCAAATATACAAATGTTACTACAACATGATGATTCACTTCAGAATTTTTTTTCTGAATCCACAGGTAGCAAAGATAAAATATGACAGTAAATATTACAAAGAACATCTTCACAACTCAAAATCGTTATTCTATATGCAAAGTATACTTGTTTATTTGGTTTTTGGAGGCAGTTGAGGTTAAACGACTCACCCAGGGTCACATGGCTAGTAAGTGTCTGAGGCTGAATTTGAACTCAGGTCCTCCTGGCTCCATGGCCAGTGCTCTA